CTTTTTTATTTTGAGGGATCGAAATCTTGATAAGAACATTTGAACTATAACTGTAACATTTGTAATGTTTAATATTGATGGACCTGTCGTCTACGTAGCGTATATAAAGTGAAACCCAATTCCACGAAAAAATATAAATTAAAATAAATTATAAAACAATAAAATGACATCACTGGTGGTTAGCAAAAAACCGACAGTGTTGTCGTAAACATCACTGCCGGTTAGCAACAAACCGGCAGTGATGGCACTGCCGGCTGGAGCCACAAACCGACAGCGTTTGCTTAGCCATCACTGCCGGTTCTTGTCACAAACCGGCAGTGATTCTTACGACAATACTACCGGTTGAAACACAAACCGACAATGTTGGTGGAAATAAACTCTACCGGATGGTCTTATGAAACGGCAGTGTTGGTGGAACTGAACTCTGTCGGTTGTGTAAAGAACCGGCAGTGAAGTTGAAGAACACTACCAGTTTGTAGGAACTGACAATGATAGCTTACCCTCATCACTGCCGATATAGTTGTACCGGTTTAAAATCTGATAGTGATAGGGTATTTTGAACCGACAGTAAAATGCTATTCTGACGTAGTGACATAGCTCTCGGATATCTTCGGCTGCCATCGTGATATGGACGAGAATGTGTCTTTGGCAGGTATTGGGGTACACGTACACTATGATTGGAAAATGGCTCAGCTAGGTTTATAGGCGGCAGTGCTAGCTCTTGACCTTAGCTTTTGTGTATGCACATGTTTCATTCACAAGTATATATCAATCCAAAATTGTATAATCAGTACGGTTTGGCGCTAATAATAAAATATATTTTCTCATGACATACCTTGAGTTTAATTTGTTTCCTTGAAGTAAATACAGGCCTTTAGGTTTCTTTCAGTATTTTTTAGCTTTTCTTTCCATCGTATATGGCAACCAACTGAATAATGACTCAGCTACAAAAGTATTCTTACATGAACACTAGTCCTCACTCCTCACCTACTCTTTCTTCATGACTTTGTAACTGTATTTATTTACTTGCTCCCTCAGAATGAGTAGTGTGTGTACTGAATATACTCTCCCTATATATATATATATATATATATATATATATATATATATATATATATATATATATATATATATATATATATATATATATATACAACCAACTGAATAATGACTCAGCTACAAAAGTATTCTTACATGAACACTAGTCCTCACTCCTCACCTACTCTTTCTTCATGACTTTGTAACTGTATTTATTTACTTGCTCCCTCAGAATGAGTAGTGTGTGTACTGAATATACTCTCCCTATATATATATATATATGGAGCATTTTATATACTCGCGGGAGTAGTTACTTCCATAATCAATAAATCACGATGCGTATGTGTACATATTCATTTATCAGTTTGAGTATATTGACATATTAATACTAAGATACTCCGGATCTTTACTACGTGAAAAAATTAAGATGCCTCGCTCCCCGTGAAGGCGACGCCCGGCTCGGACGGCCCCTCCCTATCTTCTCTCGTCATCTCCGGCGCGGCACCTTCCTCTTCGTCGACTCAGAACCGTGACCTGGCCACGATGTGATGCATCAGCCTACAGCCTGTTCGTTTGGCTGTGGCTTGTCGTAAACGATCGTAAATTTCCAGCCGGAACAGTATTTTTCTCTCACACAAACCAGCCAACAGTACTTCTTCACGAACATGAGGCGAATCGTCTTTGTCGATGCCCGTCGTAAGTGGATGACAGCTCGGTGATAGAGACTGCGTCCTCTCCTTCGGTGAGTGTGACATCTCCTGTTTATTTGTTGATCGGAATCCTTCTCCTATTTATTTGTTGATCCGAACCCATGAGTATTAAACTGTATTTTTTCCCTTATGCCTCCGCTTGATTTATCTCTACTTTCAAATAATTTGTATGGATTTCTCTAATTATCAAACTGCATTGTTGTTCATCTAATTATAGATTCTGATTTTTCCACAATTTTTTTTCTGGAAGATGCTATTAGCCTCGTGATCTTGATAAAAGTTTTATCTTCATTTTTCCCCTAAATCCAGGTGCATAGATCCTGGATTCCAGCTTCAGAGGTTGTGGATGGTACTGCATCAAAGATTCATCAATTCAGAAGACCTCCTATTCGTTTGTTTTATAATCCGTACTTTTTCAGGGAACGAACACTATTTTTCTCTCACAACAAATCAGCCAATAGTACTTTCAGCCATAGCTTATCAGCCAACATAGACCTGATTATATGAATGAAACAAGAAACAATGTAGTCTGTAATTGTTGAAGCGGTTTGGTACCATTTTGTGATGTTGAGATATATGATTCGCCCAGTACAAGCTGGTGCTATACAGTATGTACCATTTGAAATATCGTAACTGTCTTATGGTAAAATGGTCTCAATACTATAGTAACTACTTATCATGATCCATTTGACTCTCATGTAATTCTCGTATCAAGAAACTCGAATTCTCGTAATTATTTCATGGTAAACCATTGTCTCAGTTACAATATAGTATAGTTCTAGACTTCATTCATTCTAGTAACTGGCCAACTAGTTACATGGAACAACCAGAACCTAAACAAAGTAACTCATCATGTAATTGTCATATGAAGCCAACTCGAATTCTCGTAATTATTTCGGTTCTCATAATTCACATTCAAGGTTCATTCACATTCAAGTTTCATTCTCGTAAATTACACTAAATTCTGGTAAATCATAGTTGTCAAATTCACAAGGATAGCAAGGCATAGATTCTAGTAAATCACAATCAATGGTATATATTTTCTAGTAAATCATTTACTTTTTTTAACATAGTAAATCATTTACCGAATACGATAGGTTTGTATTTGCTTTTAGTATTCTCGTAATACTTGCATGCATGGCACCAGCTGTACTAGTACACCAGCTTTGTGTATTCTCGTAACACATCTGTACACGCTTTGCATGCATGGCAATGGCACCGTGTGAGGGCGTGAAAATAATTATTCCAAATATCCAGCATCATTAATTACTGCAATTACCTGCAGCGTTGACCCCGCATGCATGCAGCTGGAAAGGAAAGCAGTAACGCTTTGGGGCTGGCTGGATCGGATGGGCATCTGGTGCGCTCGGTTGGCCTGGCTACAGAATAAACTATTCTATAGCTAGCTACAGAGTATACTCTATATAGAACTACTACTTTACAACTGACTATAGAATAACTTATTTTGTACCCACTTTTGAGTTACGATAATTATTATGCTAATTTACATGATTATAGTAACGCCTTACTAAGTGATTTACTATAATGTAATGATAAATATCCCCATGTGTTATAGTAACATAATTATCGTAAATTAGCTGGCTACAAAATAAGTTATTCTGTAGCCACCTCTATTTACGATAATTATATATATGGAGAGTATATTCAGTAGCCAGCTAAAAAAAAGTTATTCTGTAGCCACCTCTATTTACGATAATGTCAATACATATTTACGATAGTTGGGTTACAATAACACATGAGAATATTTACCATAACATTATAGTAAACCACTTAGTAAGGAGTTACTATAATCTCATAAATTAACATAATAATTATCGTAACTCAAAGTGGCTACATAATAAGTTATTTTGTAGCCATATATATATATATATATAATTACATTGCGTATGTGTACATACTTATTTATCAGTCTGAGTATATTGACATACTAATATTAAGATACTGTAGATCTTTACTATGTGAATTTTTTTTTTCAAAAGAGCACATATTTTTTAATATATTATATAATACTATGATAGTAGCATATAAAATAAGTATAATCATATACTCTAAGTATACATATATACTTGTCATACATAGTACCCTAGATGGTCTAGTATGATGATATACTCTATCTACATACACTTCGTCGGGTCATATACGTCTTAAATCTAGAGATATACATATAGGAGTAACCACTCTCTGAGAGTAGAAAATAATTTTCATATATAAATATATATATTATCATGGATACTGAATAATAATAATAAGTACGCGAGTCCAGTTCCCCACGCTCCCAACTCCTCATTATCCTATCGAGTTTTTTTCGTTCTATAATTTTGAGATGGGGGGGCAGGTGTGGTTAGCACCCGACGGCGCTGAGGAAGAAAGAAATGCAGACGGAACAGAAATTCAGAGATAAGCTACCATGAATAATTAAAACTCAATTTAGGGTTTTACAGTTTTTTCCTTCCTGTCCCTCTTCCCATTCCTCTTTGCTACTTATACTATGTCTTCTAGTTGATCCAGGATGGGCCAATCACTCGCGAGCTGGGCTTCGTGACTCTCTTGGGCCGAATCTGTGGTGGGCTGGTAAGCAAGCTAGAAGTAGCCGAATGTTCTTCTTCAGGTGCCTGGCCAGCGCTGCTGACACCCACCTTCTGCGCTGCCGTCTCCTCTGAGGATAGCCACGGTCAACGAGCGGCGAAGGCGGCGGCTCCGAAAACCTAGCATGGCCACGCTGCAGCTCCCAAGCGGTCGAGTGAGCTGCAGCGCCGGCGAGCTCGTGGGGGCGGGGCGACGCCGGTTTCTCCGAGCTCGCCGCCCACTCCGCTGGCTACGCCTAGCTCACCGCTCCCTCCCACCTTCTGCGCTGCCGTCTCCTCTGAGGATAGCCACGGTCAACGAGCGGCGATGGCGGCGGCTCCGGGCACCTAGCGTGGCCGCGCTGCAGGGTCCCAAGCGGTCGAGTGAGTTGCAGCGCCGGCGAGCTCGTGGGGGCGGGGCGACGCCGGTTTCTCTGAGCTCGCCGCTCCCTCCGCCGGTTACGCCCAGCTCACCGCCCCCTCCCACCTTCTGCGCTGCCGTCTCCTCTGAGGATAGCCACGGTCAACGAGCGGCGATGGCGGCGGCTCCGGGCACCTAGCGTGGCTGCGCTGCAGGCTCCCAAGCGGTCGAGTGAGTTGCAGCGCCGGCGAGCTCGTGGGGGCGGGGCGACACCGGTTTCTCCGAGCTCGCCGCCCCCTCCGCCGGTTACGCCCAGCTCACTGCCCCCTCCGCCACGAGCCCACCTTCTACGCTGCGGTCTCCTCTGAGGATAGCCACGGTCAACGAGCGGCGATGGTGGCGGCTCCGGGCACCTATCGTGGCCGCGTTGAAGGCTCCCAAGCGGTCGAGTGAGTTGCAGCGCCGGCGAGCTCGTGGAGTCAACAACGTTCTCCCATCGTCGGAGATCAGGAAGGCCACCTTGCTCTCGACGTTAAGGAGCGCCGGCGGCACCACATCCACGATGCGCTGTTGTGGCCTCGAGAGGCGAACTGAGTAGGTGGCGGAGATCCGGTCGACCGCAGGCAAGGTGGCCGGACTGGCAGCAGGTAGGAGGCAGAGCACCCTCAAATCCCGTCGACAGCAGGCAGGAGGCCGAGCCACCACGCCCCCTTGCGAGCTTCGAGCCCGATGAGGAACGAGCAAATCGACAAGGTGCGCCCTTTCCTCTTCCATAGCTCGATCCCTTCCTACCTCCGTCCAGATCCAACAGATTTTAATATTTATGCCTCCATCCTCGCCTCTGGCTAGGCCACGGACGTCGTCGGCCGCCGCAGCACTAGGCGCGGTCGCCATGTCGCTTGGTGGCAGCTTCGCCTCACACATGGGCACCGCTTTTCTGCCCCACGCTTGGCTCCCTGGCAGCGTACAGCGAGCCCTGGAGTCGAGTTCTCCCCTGACTCCGTCAGGGCGAGTAGTATCCCACCGTATATGCTTGCTTGTTTCCAGGTAACGTGTGTTCTTCTTTGTAAATCCCAAATTCAAATCAATTTCCATTCCTTTTTTATTCAAATCAATGCATGACCGCCCGCACCACACCCAGCATCAGGTGAAACATCGATTAATGTGCATAAAAAATTGTGTCCCAATCTTGATCTTTTGCGAGATCCAGTAGTATAGTTTGTTGATTAATATGCATAAAAAATTGATTAATTTGATTGCTTGTATTTTTTCTTTTGCAGATTTGGAACATAGGGCACATATCAGTTAGTGTGCTTGCAGCGCGTCATGACTCATCGTCAGCTCTTGCCGCGAACTCCCGGAGAAAGGAGTGGCAACTCGCCTGGCGATGCTGTTGCCGCTGTCAGCCCACCGCCACCGCCTCTCCTGCGTGTGCTCCTCCAACACTGCTGGCAGATCCAGGTGCCCCTTCCCCAGACCCCCTTCCCCATCTCGGCGTTTGCACCATCTCCTACTCCTCACCCTTCCCCTTCTTGATTCGATTTGATGATTCTAGTGCAGGATGTGTTCCCTACAAATGTTCGATTGTCGGCGCAGGTCGCGGCCAGGAGCTCCTCTTCAAGTGCAGCAAGGTGAGTTTGTGGATGTGGTGCAAGCCTCAAGATTCACGTTAAAAAAGTACTATTCTTGTTTAGTTTAGCACATTTTGTGTACATTGGTGTTGATTTCCTCTACTTCTGCCTGCAGATTTTTAATTAAATAAATACTCCTAAAATTTAACCTTTCAAAATAAATTATTGTATCCTTATTCTGTAAATGTGTTCATAAACCCTGTTTAGCTGATTTTTCTTATTTATTGGGATTTAAGTAGCTTAGCTGAAGTAGGATTGCACTAGGCCATGGAATTCGAAGGATCCATCCCCCACCAGCCTGCCGCTAGTGACGTGCATATGCTTCAAGCCTTGAAGCAACTCTCAACTGCAGTACACAGGATACTCGTTGTTGGAATGACCCATCTGTTGCTGGGCTGGTGCTGCCCACATCCTCGTCTTGGATTTTGCACAAGGGTGAAACAGTGCTCCCTTTGCTTAATTTGTAATTTGTTCAACTACAGAATTATAACAAAGCATACATATTTACCAATATTGAAGGCTTGAATTTTCTCCCGCTGCTCACTTGTTCATTCATTGCGTATATTGATTGATGCTTTAGTGATCTTGTTAATTACCAACAATGGTTATTTAATACAAATTTTAGCTCCTAATCTCCATTCCTGAGGCCGACTATTTCATGGAAAGTTCAGCTTCAGGGTATTCCATTACTAATTAATGCACCATATGTACGTTTGTAATGATGGAATTTTACACCTTACTCAGGATTGATATGATCTCATCTCATTATAGAATGTTGTAACGATTTGGATGAGTTATTCAGATTTAATATGGTTCAGATGAGGCTATTGTTGTGGATTAGTATTGGAATTATTACAACAATTTAGTAGTATAATAACTAGTTATTTGTGTTCACAGGACATTATTTACGATTAGACTATATGCTAGGGTTAGACCCTGTCCACGTACATAGAATTCAGGGTTCTTGCTTGCGGCACTGCCTAAATCTAAATGATTTTTGCATTTATAATATGCCTGGTTTTCTTGCTCTTTATTTAGAGCACACACTTCTTTTATTTCAGTATTGATCCATTTTCTGGTAAAACCCCATATCCAACTGAACCATGCAATGGTTTTCATGCAACTCAACTTCGCTACTGATTGAATAACAATGGATACCAGATAACTAAGGGAAAGGTCATTTGAAACCACATTTATTTAAATTGAAACATTTCACTGTCATCTTTCAATGTTGTTCCTATGGTAACATGACATTATAACATTCAGGAGCTCAATCGATTAGCAGGAGTAGAGGAACTTGTGAATTTGTCAGGGTTTATGTAGCCTGTACACTAGGTCACATTTCTTGGTAGAATGGGTTAAGATGATGCATTTGCTTATGAAATAGTTTTTATCAAGTTCATTTAATGATTGCTGGAATTCTGTGTTGACATTTAGAAGAATCATCCTTTAGACCTTTACCATGTTCTGTTTATTTGGTCATATGTTGCTAAGAATTCTATTTGTAAGCTGATCATTGAGTCTTTAGAGTTCAAGTTTAGCAGGTCTAAATGTTATTTCGAAGGTTCATGCCTTGCAGAAGGCCTAAATGCTAATTCTGTAATTTTGGTCCTTGTATCTGATGTGAAAATGGAATCATTGCTTTGTCAGGCTTCTAAAAATTGTGTGCAGCACTGCAAGAATAGGAAATGTTATAAATAAATCTGAACTTACCTTTGTCATGCAAATATAATAGTTAGCCTTTAATATTTCAGCGCTGCTTTTCATTTCTAATCTCTCTAATTTCGATTTATTTTGTTCTTTCTTGCTTCAGGGTTTGGACTACAGCTCATTTCTTTTTCTTTATGCAATGCTGAATTTCTAGAAGCCATTTCTGTGTAGGGCTGTGGTGTTAGGGCCTTCAGTGCTGGACTGGTTGTTGTTTGGCACAGCAAGTTTCTGAAACATTAGTGTGTAATCTATATGTGCCCTGTGATTTTTCCTTTTTTCCTTATTTGTACAATTTGTGGTACCCTAATGCTACTCAGGACATATTTTAACCTACCCTCTATTTTCACTTTTTGTGCTCTGTTTTTGGACGTGCAGTGCCCGGTTGTGGGATTGCCATTTCTTGGTTGCACACATGTCGAATGCCAAGCTTGCCTTACTCGGATGGAGTCCTCCGGTCCGTCAGGTACCCTATACCCGCCTTAATCCCTTTCCTGTGCATCTTGTTTTGATGTTCTATTATTCCATATCAAGCAGTAAAGGTTTATCACATTGGTTTCACTATTAGGTTCCATGATATGAGTACTGTTTGTACGCTTAAATAATGATTCCTCTGTTTCTGGTTGGAGTTGGTTGATAAGATGCCTGACAACAATAAGAAGGGTTGTCGATTGTCACTTTCTGACATTACAACAGAAGTAAAAGAAATAGACGGGAATTTCTAGCCTAATCGATCTCTTCTTTGTACTGTCCTCCTCGGATGTGTAGTCTCTTTTCTTCCCTATTAGCATATCTGTATTCTTTTTCTCCATGTGTACAGTTATGTGTACCACTCTGATCATCAGGGAACTATCTATATGAAGAATAAAATACTATTTGGTCTATGTTTACAGACTACAACCAATACATAGAAGGGATTGATTGTCTAGCTGCACTACAGAACTCTCATTACTGTGTTGAAATTAATTGATTGCTCTATCACTCTTTTGTTTAGGGTTAGAGAAAATCCACGCTCCAGCTTTTGGAAAACAAGATGATTGTGGAGGGTTTCCCACTGGTAAAGTGAAAATCCTGAAATGAAGTGTCTGCTTCTCTGCATATATTGCATTTATATAGTGAATTTTTCATTCTGGTTTTACTTAATTAGCTCAAGGTGTCCATCAAGAGTTTACTAACTGATAGTGTACATCATCAGTATTTAATCTTCTAGATTTTCCCAGGTCATTTTTCGTATTTGTTGTCTGCACATCTACAGTGATTGTGCTAAAGAATGAAATAAGTATGATTTTTCCTGCCATGGAACATTAAGGCCTAAATGGCTACTATTTTTTTGGATCTTATTTTGGACGTCAAGTTTGGTAGAAGGGCAGGAGAAAGAACGATGATTATGTTGTGAATGGATAGGTACAGAACTCGTACAAACTCTTAAATGTTTTGATCCCTGGACCCATGTTGACATGTATATTTGCACTAGCCTACTGCCACAGTGCTAATGCTTGTTTGAAATATAGTGGTCGAGAGAATCGTAGATTCTCAATAAGGTAGTATAGAAAATAATAAGATTTAAACTATGTGGAGTTTTAGAAGACAGACATGTTCTAACAGTTTTTTTCGTATGCTCTTGTCCTTCTTCTGTAAATTTCTTTTCCATAGTTATTTATGTTTATAACTCTTATAGCTTCATAAAATAATACAGTGGTGATGCTATATTTATTACAAATATTTCCAATATGTACCATCCCTACCACCGTAAAATATCATATTCTGTCTTTTGGTTTGGGACAGAGAGAAAAAAATTGAGAGCCTTGAGGTTATATATATATATATATATATATATATATATATATATATATATATATATATATATATATATATATATATATATATATATATATATAACAACAAACACAGGAAACTAACTCGGATTCAGAATTCAAATTTAAAATTATTGAGTTACTATTCACAACACTATTCAAATTCAACGGTTCCTATTTAAATTCGTGGCACTATTTAAAATACTCGCTACAATTTAAATTCAAAAATATGAACAGTGCATGAGCACTCACCAGGGAGTGGCTCAGGCACCCAACTTTCTCACTATTCAAGCACTAACTTTCTCACTATGCAGGCACTATGCGGTGTAACTATTTGGAGCACTTGTTTTGCTTTATGGATGATGGATGCAGGATACGTGCGTGATTAGTGAATATGCGTGAATATGATTATGCTAATTATACTTCTCAGGATCTTTTGCAGGCTGGTGAGACCAACGTTTCAGCCGGTCGTGCGACTATGCTTGTGTCAGTTCTACTTGGTACTCACCGTATGCATCACTAGCTCGCTTCAGAACTAGGCTAACTCGGTCTTCTCCCTCGCTATCCCCAGCCACGCACACACAGAACTCAGGCTCTATCGTCTCCCTAGGCAGTTTCACCCGAAGGGAACACTTATCTGCGCAAATAGGGTTCTCTACAAACGCCGCTACCAGGACTAACACGAGAACAACACACGCAAAGATTTCTCCTCTAGGGTCCCTAGCATAGAGACATCGTCCCATATGAACGAGCTTAAAGGAAGGCAGAGATTAAAACAGGAAACCCTAGTTCATTTTCACAGAGAAACCTTACATACGGCTTTCCCTTTCGGGAAACCCCAAGCACTTAGCACAAACCTTAGGGGGACTTCCTTTATTCTCTAATTTACAACGGTGGAGTGGCTACTAAGTAAGTGGAGTATTAGTACTAAAGGTGGACGAAC